AGCAGGACAAGTTTTTAAATAAACAGAAAAACCCAAATAGCGAGGAAGAGCAACCACAAAACAGAAGAAGATTAATTCCCATCTATTATTTGAAGCAAATTAACACTTACTACAATTGTGACTTTATAAGCACAGAATTTTTTTTAAAACCCTTCAATACTTAGAGTATTTATCTGGATGCTGAAGCATGTGTATTGCAAAAGGTTCTTCTGTACTACCTAGCTCCTAAGCCATCCACTGAGTTGGGGAATAAGTTTTATTCTTCTCTGTCACTGAGGGAAGCACGAGGAACTCAAAAGGTTTGGAAGTTCTCATGGGCTCCCTACTGTCCAGTCCCAGAACTTAGATGCTCTGCACAGGGCAGCAGGCTTTGTGGATCAAAGCATCCCATTACATGCAGGATTTGAGTTCACTAAGCATAGTTAGGGGCACTAAAAAAGGAAGTGGATGATACAAGCCTACAGAGAGTTTCCCTGTGGCTGCCTTGGACCCTAACTAGCTTGTCTCACATCCAACTGTGTGATGCTGAACATGCCCATTTGCATGAGCATCCAAAGCACAGCTCTACACACTTTTCACAGGAGACGTACAGTCAGTAGCACGCACACTGCACAATTCTCTAACACAAATGTCTTTGTTAGCCCTCAATGGCAACAAGTTCCCTAGACAAATGCTTTTTGACAGGGGATTTTTTTGTCTTCCCTCCACATGCTGAAAATGGGAGTTCTCAGTAAAAAGGAATCTCACAGCTTCTCTTCCAACACAGTTAAAAAGACAAGGAAATCTCAATAGAGCAGTGGAAATAAAATTTAATTTGTCAAAAGTATTTTATAATTTTGAATAAATTTGTATTTTACTCTAATATGTCATAGTGTCCTACTATGACAAGAAAGCATTTGACAATCTTCCTTTTACATGTCATAAAAAACATTTTAATTACAGAAACTCATGGGCAAGCTTGGCTTCTGCATCATAGACATTTTAATCAATACCAGCCTGAGCACTTAAAAAGAAAAGATTAGAGCTGAAAAGTATAAGCCTATTAAAGAAAAAAAATGGCTGCAAGACTACCAGAACAGCAGGGAATTCTTGTAATGCGCCAAGAACCTGATGAAGCAAGATTAGATTGTATGAGAGAAAAGAGGAACAGGTACTCAGCAGTTAAGAGATTATTTCCCTCTCCTTTTTATAAAGCATTATGAAATTATTCACCCTCTGGGGATATCAAGAAACATACTTTACAGAAAGTTCCTGTAAGATATCATGTGTCTCAAAGATCTAACTCAAAGAAATCCCTCCACTAGAGTCTACAGGACTATTCAGTCACTGCTAAGAAGAAAAGTATTAAATAAGGATCACAAATAAAAGGCAAATAACATCATAGAAAAGTGCAAAAGAACCAAGTAGCACTTCTAGAAAGTCATAATGCAAAGGATAAAAATAAAGATAACAGGTGAACAAGTATATTTGACTTTCTCAGATGACCTCTATGCAAAGAACTGTTTTTCTCTAAACACCTGCCAAAACAGTATCTTAAAAAGCAATGAAATCCAGCTGCACACCAGAGCACTCTGCACTCTCCTCACCTGTCAATATTCCAATACTTATTTCTCAAACGTTATCCAGAAGTTTCAGTCCTTTCTGTTCTGGTCATCCTCATATATACATGCCACAAGATCCAGAGGGTAGTGTCATCAGTATTGCAATACCATTGATGCCTCAATGGACATACCTAGCTCCTTGTCTTGGGGCAACAGTAAAAATTCCGAAACAAAATGCTATCATGGACTCAGCTTAATTTGGAATTTATTTTGCAGAATTTCTTGCCCAATATTAAGTCTTTCAAGATTGCACTGAGGGTAAAATTCTCTGCACAGTATATAAATTATCTTCCTATCAGAAGACATAATCCACAGAAATCTCCTATATTAGGTAGGAAACAAGTATAAACAGAGAACTCCAAGATTATTTTTAAAGATTGTGAGCTTTTCTGAGCAGATCTTGCAGTGCATACACACTCCACTACCAAAACCACAGAGCTAAAATCGGAAACATGACAGTCTGAAAAATTCTGATAGAAAACTGCCAATATATTTGACACTTACCACACATTATTCCCAAAGCTGTACTAAATACTGCCATATAACCGAAGTAAAATGATGTTTGAAACAAGCCATACATCCTGAAAAACAAAGATAGGAATTTATGCCAGGTATTTTCCCCAGTTTTTATCAACAAACTTATTTGGCAATACGGTAATCCGATATTCAAGCAAGAAAACTACCACTTACTTTGTCTTGAAAAAGTAGTAGTAAAAGGAGTACATGTAAACATAAATCGCAGTTGATGCCGCAGAAAGAAAGCTTGTCCATTGCCTGAAAGCAAACATGCATGTCCATCATGTATCTAACCAAAAGGCTTCCCAAGAAGATGTACAATGCCCTAAAACCTTACCCTGAAAATGAAGTGCACTGGTTCTACAGACTTATTTAACAAAATATATATGTTGTCTGCTATAAGTGACAAAAGCTTCTACGGCAACAGCTACTACTGATACCAAGGGATGATCTCTCTTCGTACTCCTGTGTACCTTGACATACCTTTTTTTAATACACAGATGCACACACACAGATCCACATACACACAGAAAGCTTCTGTACAGAAAGGATCCAAGAATTGCTTTTATTCCCTACAGCTAAAATCTGGACATTGGACACTTTGAAAAGACCCATCTAGACTGAAGAAACATCACTTTTCTGTAAAACTCTCACAATCTGGCTAACTATGCAAACAATGCAATACTTACCACCTGTAATCCTCTGCGTTTAGCAGGAAATATGTACAAACGATAGTCACACAAACTGTCACAATGCAGAGGATAACCAGAACCAACATCATAAAGCCATAAACATAGTAGATCTTGTAAGCCCAGAATGAAGTAAAAATGAAATACCTGAAAGGAGTAAATAAAATATGCAGATTATATCATAACTGAACTTAAGTTGTTTTAATTTTTAATCAAATTGGCAGATAGCTGACATACTCACATTTCAATAAAAATTGATCCAAAAGGGAGGATTCCACCTAGGCAAACAATAACAGCTGGCTCCATGAACCTGAAAGATATCGAGATTAGTTTAGGGACAATGTTAATCTTTCATTTATAAACATATTAAGACATATAACCAGATAATTGATATAGCACAGAGATTTATTTAAAAGGCATGCTAACAAGAACGTTTTTGTCTCATACCAGCATATTAGGAAGAAGATTCCCCCAAAGATTATGTCTATGGATAGAAGCAGGAGTTATTCTTGGGGAAAGCTGAAACAAAGCATAAGGCTCATGCCTATCGCCTACAGGCATAAGGTTAGGGATCTAAACAGCCTGAAAGGCTACAGAAAGAATCTCTCTTGCCCAGAAATGATCAAGCCCCATAACATCCACCAGCCTTGAATGAAGGCAGCAAAAACTCAATGCTATTGATGGCTACAAATACAGCAAAAAGTGCCAAGAAAATTTCACAGGGTAATAGTTACATAACTAAGAACCAGTGTTTATTTTAATGCTATACTGAGTCATGAGCATATGGCCAAAAATGAATACTCAGCTACCTGTAGATGATACTGTCACTTACTAAAGGTGACCTCTGTGTAGTACTTGCAATGATGCCGAATCTAGCTAGTAGCCAATGATTTAATTTGCAGCTTCTTTTATTATTTATAGGTAGACTTGTCTAAGCTGACGGTGTGCAATTTCATCATTTTCAATAGAAGCATCTTATTTCTTTTTATCTGTCATGCTGATCCAGAAAAATCCATCAGATTCCCAAGACATAGGTCACAATATAAATCAAATCCTAGCATGTGAGCTGCACAAGCAACCACTAAAAAGAGACTAAGTGTGCTACACTTCCTGGATACAGTGGGCGTACACGTTTCAGTGCCCCCTTCACTTAGTCTGTTCCATTCCTCTGAACAGGGAAAGCAAGAAAAATCTATTTTAAAAAATCCTCTGAGGATATTTTCATTTCCAAGCTTGCTGCTTCCATCTCAGAATTAAATTAATAGGAAAAAGTGACTGGCATTCATGATTTTCCAAAAACCTAAGTCTACTTTTTGAGACTAGGCATCCCTTTATATTCACTTCAAAAATAACAAAGGCTTATTCGCAATTCAAACCATATACCTGCAATATTTTAGGCTCTGTGCCATCAACAAAAGTGCAGAATTGCGAACGGCATTCCAAGCTTCTCCCCACCACCACTCTGCAAATATGTCTCAGTTTGTACATGGAGACCATTAACCACAACAGTACTTTCTCCAAGGCACATTTAATCCTAAATCTGTAAGTGGCATTAACTAAAGAGGAAAGGTTTAGTTTCAAGATACTTATACAGGAACTGGGTTGGGACCATCCCTTCTACAAAAGGGACTAAAGAGCATTTCAGGCCAAATATGAATCAGTCATCCAGGACTGTAAAATCTCCTACAACTAACTATTAACCATGGTGGTTTAATTTAACAGAAAAATCATATTAAGGAAATGTCAGCAGAGCTGTTCTTTTAGGCACAACTCAATTTAAATAAAGTTATTCCAGAAAAATTTGTAATGATCACGCCTGAAAAGTCATTTTAAATATACTGAAGTGAATACTTCTAGTTAAGATTCATGCTTGTCTTTACCATTTTTTCTCTGGTATGGGACGAGGCACTGCATTGACACGACATGGAAAATTAGGCTGTCCTGACAGATTTCGGCCAAGAATCGTACCAACAAGGTTCAATGGAAGAATGACAAAGAAACAAATACAGCACACTGCCACCTGTAAGCAAAAAAAACCACAAACCACAAACAAAAAAACAAAAAACAGGTATAAGATAACAAAAGAAGATAACCAACCCACTCTATATATATATAGATCTTAGTAGTTATTGCTGTAGAATCATACTCCTAGTTATGAAGCATTAGTCAACACACATCTATTTTATCAAATGGAAGTATTTGTTTCCTGAGAAACTTCCTAATAAACATTATCAAGTATATTCTCCTGCATCAGTTGAGAGAACAGAATCATTACATATTTTTTTACTGTTTTCATCTAATCATTATACTCGATACATTGCACAGGAAAGAAATGGTAATCTTCACGGTACTTCATCACAGAAAATTTTGTCAGCTTCTCTTGAGCTTTTGCAGAGTACGCTATCCCTGGTAGTTAACATCTAGCAGTTAGGCAGTTTGTAACAAAACTACAACTGCTGGATGCAAAATTTTCAATCCAATCCAAAAAAGAAACCCAAACAAGAATTGCAAAACCGTGTCAGAATGCTGCCAATCAAAATTTTGGATTCAATTTTCTCCACTACTCACCAACCAGGTAATTAAGAACACAGACTGCCAAAGACAGGAGTGACCACTGGTATGCACAGACACACAATTTAGAAGCACAACTGCCCTACTTACATATAGAGATTAGGTTTATGCACAATGCAGCAAAGCCAAGCCAATGTTCCAGCTCTTCCCAATGGAACAGCCTCCCTAAAATTTTACCATGAATCACCTTTTTTCCAGTATATGAATTCAGCTCTACTTTTGCTATTCCTTGAAGGCAACATATTTTTATCTTCCAAAATGGGAAAACTGAAAGTGTTTAGCAAGATATTCTTTACTCATAACTCTTTAGCACAAAATGAATTAGCATTGGGCAGCTTGTTAACTTTTTGATATTGATAATTAAAGACAGAACAGTTGCCTGTAATGCAATAACCATAGTTCTGAATATTGACCCTGTGACTTTCTCTATGCAAACATATGAAAATACTGCCTTTTAAAAGCACTGTTGCCCGAGGCTCTGTGTACACCCTGGTGCCTCCTGAGCAAAGCAGCTATATTCCTCTTTTACTCCATCAGCACGCAATCTCCATGGCAGCAGATTAATCCAAAACAATGGACAGAGGACCAGGTCTAAGATGCACACGCTGACTTGTGTAAGAAGCAGTTACTCCAGTATAAATAAAGGCTGTTCACATATGTTGCATCTACAGACATCCACTGCATGCAGCTGAAAAGCAAGAACTCCTAGGGTTCATGAGGAGCTGCACTACATTATCCCAATACAAACTTAGGATTTAAGTCAATCACACTGGTTTAAAGCAACATCTGACAAAAAGTCAGCGGGTTATCCCTCTATTACTGACTTGTATATCATTACTAGCCTCAGCCAGAAGTGAATGGAAAATGTCGCCAGGGGATGGATAGAGCAAGCCTTCACGCTTCACAGAAAGGGTACACCAAACAGGTAGTCAACAAGCAGAAACACTGTCCAGACTGCTCCGTGTATCTTTGAGGAGAGGTTGTTAAAGAATTACATCATGAGCCACTAAAGTATGACACTTCAGTGGTAAATAAGGAAAAGCTAGGTAGTATTTATAGTTGCCAATAATAAAGCAGATTTTACACAATTGATACATATTTAGTATCTCCCACTTATCTTCTTGCATTACTTGAAAAAGCACAGGTAAGCAAGCATAGTGTCTTAGCTAGGACACTAAGGCTACCTAAGAATAAATTATAGGAGAAGTATACAATCAAGTTACTTAATGGGTGCAGGTTCTGCCCTTGAAAACTGCTTAGTCTAAAAGAATGAGTAGATGAGAACTTTCAGAGAAAAATGTCAAAAAGTATCAGAAACATCAAAGAACATAATCTTCAGTGCTACATTTACTAAAGCCCTCACCAAAAAGTCCCAGCTTGTCTGAGGTGCAGTGGGTAGAAGAGACGTTGAAGAATTAAGGCCTGGAGAGGATCCGAAGAATTTCTGAGCTGACCATATTGCAAGAAGAGCTTGTTCTGCTTCCTGCCTGGCAAGGACCTCCGGGGGTGTTGGGTGGCCCCTGTCCATGGGGCTCCGTGGCACTCCGGCAGGTAGGTTTCAAACCTGGCAGAGGCAGAAGGCTCAGACACAGGCAGCGAGAGCATCTGCTCATCCAGCCACAACTGTCTTTTACAGTGCAGTTATCAAGATGTCTGTAGCTTCATTTCTTGATCTCAAAAATCACCCCTGACTGGGGACAGTGGTAGAAAGTGAATCCACTGCTTTACTGCAGAAAGAAACGGTCCAGGAACAGCCTTGGGTTCCAAGCTCACCTGGAACAAAACTCAGTAACTTGTAATTGTCCATCTTGTAAATACGTCTACCATAGGGAATCCACTTGGAAAGAATGTAACCTTGGACAAGGAACGAAAAAAGGAACATCCAGGCTTAATTACTGATTAGCTGGCAAACTCCTAGATGAAAAAAAAGGCAGTAAGTAGCATCTAGTTCTAGTGACACCAACTGCAGACCTGAATGGCTTCAAATCAGGTGGGCAAGGAGAAGGCCCAACTTGTTCCAGCAGGGCTTGGCTGTTGTGTTGTTGTCTGGAAGACTGACTCAGCAGAAGCTTTGAAATCTAAAATGTTTATCTGCGTAAAACAAGCTGAGACAGACAAAAGTTCCTTGAATAATGGCTTCAGTAAGTACTGCAAATCTGTCCCCAGTACACTTGTAAGTGGCATCTGTCAGAAAATCTGAGTGCTTGTGGTTTCATTATCAGATCAGTCAAAGCATGACTGATAACAGTGTAACATCTTCCATTCTATTAACCATTTGGCTGAAAAATTAACTGATTTCAGACAGAACATCTTCAGTGAGATCTAGTAAGCACCATTAGGCGAAGTCAACATTTTGTTAAACAATGAACTGCCCGTCTCAATGCTATGCTATGTTCTGAGGACAGCTGGAATTGAAGCAAATTTTTTCCTTTTTTCTTGGAGCCATTCAAGAGCCTAAAAATTATCCAAGATGATTTTGCAGTGCAAAGGAAGCCCAGCTAAGCAAGCAA